CTGGAACTGAACCCGCAATATCTCCGAGGTACGCCTGTAAATACCCTTCGTCAAGCTGAGGAAGCACTGCAGTTGGCACATGTGCTCTTCCTGGATGGAGTGAATAGTCAAGAAGCCAGAAGCTGGTATGCATATCAGGTGGCCAACACTGACCAAAGCTATTCCAGATTTTTTTCCCCCTGAACATGACGTAATGTCATGAATTGTACTGTTCAACCCTTCACAATAAATATCACCCTCCTGGATTGCTTTCAAGAGTCACCGGAAGATGGGCACTGATTCCGGTAGACTCCTGGCCCATCAGGGAGGGTTGGCAAGCCTGTATGAATGCAAGAAAGCCAGCCAGCAACGATGTACATGGAGCAGTCCATGGGTGAAAGACAGGTAGCGCATTCATGTATGTGGAGATCTCTTTTACTAGGCCAACTAAATAGTTGGCAGACTTGTTCTTTGCAAGCTTGTGGGCACAAGCCCCCTTCTTCAGGCTGAGGAATAAGCTACTGGATGTTGCAAAGCCAACTTGACCACCACAAGAAAACGGGGCTGGATGATGACTTTCCCCCATCTTGGGGACAAGATCGGGGGTGGGGGGTGGAGGGCTATAATAGGCCCGACTCAAACGGGGCTCTGGAGCTTGAAGCTATCTAGCCGCAGTGGAGGGGGGGGAGGAGAATCGCCTTAGAGCCCCCCTGGCTTCCGTAGGGCCCCGCCGCCCGCAGCGAGCGGGGAGGGGGCAGCGGGGCAGAGGAGGCACCGCCCCCGCGCGCCGGGCTCCCGTTTGCCGGACGCGCCCCCGGCCGCACTGCGCAGCTGCGCGGGCTCAAAACAGTTTGTTGCAGACGTCGGCGAAGCCGCTTCCGTTTCCAACGCCACATTCCGGCCCCACCTGCCTACGCCGCCGCCCGGCCCTGGCCCGCCCCAGACCGAGCCCGCCCGCGCCGCCATGTCCGCGGAGGGTAAGGGGGGAGCCCTAAGGGTGGGGAGGAGCGGTGGAGAGCGGCACGCGCGCGGAAAACGCTCCCCCATCGTTTGCAACGGCCAGACCCCCAGAACACCCGTCGCCTGAGCCACGCCCACCGCCTCTTCTCCCATTGGCCGGCTGCGGCCCACCTCGCCGCTGTCATTGGCTGGCGCGCCCGCCCGTCACTGTGGCGTCATGGGCTGAGCGAGGCGGGGAGGGGGCGCGAGGGCAGGGCGTTGCCCCTCCTCCCGCGCGGCGGTTGTGGGGTTGGCGGTTGGCGCCCTTCCCCCCGTGTTGTGGGTGGCCCTGCTGAGGGGGTGGGGTAGGGGGAGCAAGAACCGCAGGCCTACAGTGGCACTCTGCACGGGGCAGCAGAGAGCTAGTGCCTGGGTGTATACCACCTTGACATGCACTCTCAAGCCTTAGGGAAAGGCACATGTACACACACCACTTGACACACACTCAAGCCTCAGTGAAAAGTGAGTGAACACCACCCCTACCCCATCAAACTTGACACACACTCATGCCTCAGGGAAAGGTATATGTGCACACAGCCACGCACACACTTAAGCCTCACAGAAAGGCCCATGTAGGTGTCTGGTCCTCCTGGGGTGCAGAGATTTGCACCCTATAGACCTGTGGTTCTCAGACCTTTTGAGACACAAGGTCCCTCTAAGTAGACACAAGTACCTCCCTGCCCCCATGAACTTGGGGCCCCTGTGGGTAGTCTCGCAAGCCCACCCTTGGAAAATGAGAACCTTTTGTTTTCACTTTTTTTTTACTACAGAAAAACAATGAGAACTGTTGCCAAGAGCTCAGACCCCAGCTGTGGATTTCGGCTTGAGATCTTTGGGTTTAATCATGTGAAGCAAGTTTGTGAATCTAACAGGGCCAACATTGCATGGTAGCTCGTTGCACCCTGGTTGAGACTCATGGTTAGAGGCTAGCAAAAACGGATATGGATATAGATATATCACAAACTTCTGAGAGCTGAAGCTCAATTCATCAGATGCTGCA